ACACAGGATTAACATACCACACACGCGTGTGATACTTTCCCACGGCCTTAGAGAGCATCACAGTTTATTCTGAGATGAGCGTAATTGGAAACATTACAAAAAAACTTCAGAAAATGTTTTCTAATAAGTGTATAAATGGGTAAAGCCCTAAACCAGCAACCTCTACCTCTCTAACCAAAAACATCTGGAATATATCAGTCCAAAAATGTGGAGTCACAAGAATATTTAATACATGCAATATATAGGACATACACACAATAAAACATAATATATTGCACAGTCTGTTCTATGTTTTAATACCAATGTTTTAACAAAAAAATGCTCTGTTCCATATTTTTTTTAAAAACGATATATTGGTATTCATATTTACATTTTTAATGTTTTGGTTTTTTTTTACATTAGATACATATTTAAAATGTGATAGGTTCTGCAACATTATATGTTACGACACGTGTACTAATACAATGAAAATTTATAAAAAATAATGATTACAAACCAATATTGTATGTGGCCTGTCTTACAGGGTTATTCACTAAGGCTGAATAGTTGTAAATTCAAAATTAACTTTGAAGTGATGTTATGTATTCTTTTATTTTACGTCAAAATATTCAAAGAGACAATATAGGTGGCAAAGGGAAATTTCCCAATTCAGCTATTTTGCTTTTTCCCAATTGGACTGAAATTTGAAATTCACTTTGAATTCACACTTTATTGACTAACCGTGTTTGAATACACAGTAAATTTTAAGAAACTGAGCAAGCTGAGTAAAAGGCAATGGAAGACCCAAATATAAGCTATTTTATTCTCTGTCAGCAGATACAGTGCATCTTGGAAAATGTGTAGACTCTACAGTTTGTTATATGCAGTTTAGTTGTGAAGTACTGGCATTGACCCAACACAAACAGTGAAAACAGTGTGGTGCCATTAAAATGAATCAAGAACTACTATTAAACATATAATAATGGGTAGATAGTTGGAATATATTTTGGAAAAAGATATTAGTAGGAATCAACGTATTTTTGTATTTTATAATACTTAGTCATTTAACCCCTTTATAGTACATAGTTACATTGCTGTCTTTGTTAAAATAGACTACAGTCCATCAAGTTCAACCTTGAAACCCATTATTTTATACTTTTGACCCAAAAGAAGGCAAAGAAAAATTAGAAAACTCAATTGTAGCCGTTTCCAATTATACTACAAAAGAGAACAAAATCCTTCTTGACTCCCTAATGGCAGTCAGATATTATTGATTCTGTTTTTACTGGTTTACAGAACAGAACTATAACATAACTATTTGTAATGTATTTAACCCCTTAAGGACCAAACTTCTGGAATAAAAGGGAATCATGACATGTCACACATGTCATGTGTCCTTAAGGGGTTAAATTGCTAATTTATGACAAGAAATTATTATTAAACTGTGTCAAATTAGAAACATCCATATTTTCTCCTGGCCAGATAAATTCTAACTTTCAGTCAAAGGAGTTTGTTCACTAAGCACCAAACTGTAGTGAACTGAAATTCCAAAATTTAGGCAAAAATAGTCAAACTCCAATTACAGCTGAGGTTAAGACTTTCCATCAAATCAGCTAATTTTGCCTAAATATCACAATTCAGTTATCAGTCAATACAGTTTAAAATGGTTTGGCCAATAAACTATTATTATTATTATTATTATTATTGCCATTTATATAGCGCCAACGGATTCCGTAGCGCTTTACAATATTTTGAGAGGGGGGGTGTAACAATAAATAGGACAATGACAAGAAAACTTACAGGAACAATAGGTTGAAGAGGACCCTGCTCAAACGAGCTTACAGACTATTGGAGGTGGGGTATTTGAAACATTAGGACAATAAATATCAAGTAGGAGTGAAGCAGAGCTGGAGGAGAGAGCAAAGCACTGCCCCATAGGAGAGAGCAGGAGACAGGTATGTAAGGTAGAGATTACTCTGGGAGGCCATAAGCTTTCCTGAAGAGATGGGTTTTAAGGCCCTTCTTAAATGATTGAAGACTAGGGGAGAGTCTGATGGCAGTAGGCAAGCTATTCCATAGGAGAGGAGGCAGAAGCCCAGCTCTGCTTTCAGCAACACCAAGCTGCTGAAACAGCACTTCTCGACAGGGGAGCATGCTCCTAAACCTCAAATGGCAAGTTGAGGATCTCGAGAACAGGAGCCGTTGGCAAAACATAAGAGTCCGGGGTCTACCTGAACCGGACACCTCTCCCCTAGTTTTAACACTAGATCTACTGTTCTGAGATTACCTTCGATAGAGGGCACAAAGCATTGGGGCTTGCTCATTGGCGGATCCGGGGGGGGACAACGGGCAATAGCCCCCCCCCGAGATTCTCCCCTGCCGGCTAACACAGGGCTGGCATTGCCCAAGTGCCAGCCCTGCAATGTGCCTGTGGACCGGGGAGGGAGATCAGAGCTCTCCCTCCCCGGTCCGCAGGCACTGTGCTGACAGCCGGCGGCGGAGGGAGGGAGTGAGAGAGAGGACCCGGAGCTCAGTCTGCAGCTCCTCCGGGTCCTCCTCTCTCTCGCGAGAGTGAACTCTAGCCCGGGAGCTACGGGCTAGAGTTCACTCTGACCACCTGACCACCAATGAATCCCCCACCGGACCACCAGGGAAATGTCCCCCCTCCTCCTAAATAAAGGTAAGAAGGGAGGGGGGACATAGAATATTTATTATTATTATTTATTTAAAAAAAAATATATATTATTAAAAAGCCTCCTCCCCCCCATTACACACACACTGCCTCCCATTACACACACTGCCCCCCATTACACACAGTGCCCCCCATTACACACAGTGCCTCCATTACACACACTGCCCCCCATTACACACAATTGCCCCATTACACACCTGCCCCTCATTACACACAGTGCCCCCCATTACACACAGTGCCCCCCATGCACACAGTACCCCCATTTAAAAAAGAAAAAACAAGACAAAAAGAAAGGACTTTGGTAAAAGGACACCGCACCCCCCATTACACACTGCCCCATTTACACACAATACCCCCATTACACTGCCTCATTACACACACTGCCCCATACACACACACTGTCCACAAACACTGTCCCCATACACACACACTGCCCACACAAACACTGTCCACAGACACACACACACTTTACATACACACACTGTCCCCATACACACACTGCCCCCCAAACACTGTCCCCCATACACAC